TGTATATATCCGTGGCTATAGAGAGATTCCAAGAGCGAAAAGGTGTACGTTGTGTCTTGAACATTGCGTCTATTAAAATTTTGCAAGTGATGGCTTGTATGCAGCGTCAGTTCTTCCACATCAATAGCCCGGTGCGGAGTCGACCACATGTGCAGAAATGATCACGTGGTTGTAGTAAGTCAACCATGCCATCCTAAGCTAAGGAGCAATGCTACTGACCGTCCAGTCGCAGAAAAATTCTTTGTGTTGACATGCCTGTTTTTGAAATATGTATCAGGTCTTCGAGTGGAAAGAGCTATATGGTAGCACAATACACAACCAACACCGGCGTCTTGGACTTTCGCTCGATTGGAGCAGGGAGTACTTCACGCTTGATCCGCACCACTCGAGTTTGGTGAAGGACACCTTTGTGAAGATGTATGACGACGGTATCATATACCGCGATATGCGAATGTGCAATTGGTGCGTCAGATTGCAGACTGTGATTTCTGACATCGAGGTCGACTCCAAGGTGATAGAGGGCCGTGGTAGAGTCAGTGTACCTCGATCGTCCGATCAAGCTGGCGCAAGTGAAGGCTTGAGAGAAGTAGAGGTAGGCGTTATGCACGACTTTGCCTATAAATTGGCGGGGAGCGACAGCGCAAAAAACGGAGGATTGGATGAGCTGGTGGTATCCACCACACGAATTGAGACAATGCTCGGCGATGTGGCCGTGGCAGTTCATCCCGACGATAAGCGATACAAACACCTACACGGCAGGCACGTCGTGCACCCATTCACAGGTAATGGCTTTGCCAATGCAGTACAGTAGCGTTCGAACACTTTTGAAGTCACCACTATCTTCCTTGAAGCGTAATACTCATAATCATACGGCGATTCCCATGTAGAGCGCCCGTATATAGTGAATATTTATACGCTTCGTATAATAACAATTCCGACTCTATCTTTGTAGGCGAGCAACTGCCCATCGTTCTAGATGAAGAGCTTGTGGATATGGACAAGGGCACGGGCGCGGTGAAGATAACCCCAGCTCACGACTTCAACGACTATGCTTGTGGTGTGAAGCATGGTCTAACGTTAGAACGGAATGTTCTAGATAGAGATGGCAAGATTGTCAAGAATCTATTGGATTCAGCTGGTCTGAAGTGCTCGGACCGGTTTGATGCTCGAGAGGAAATAATTCAAATCTTAAAAGATAAAGGTATGGTGAATGTAATTATTCCTCTCAGTTATACTGGTACTCACTAACTTTGGGCATACAACGCTGGTCGCATGGCTCATACCTGAGTGATTTTCTTGGACAAAACACAAAGTACTCACTCCCGGTTGTTACCCCTTTAGATCTATACCGAGGGTCTAAGGATCACGCCATGGTGCTTCCACTATGTTCTCGTTCTGGTGATATTATTGAGCCGATGCTTCTTCCCCAATGGTATGTAAAAGCCGAAAGTCTGCAGAAGATCGCAAGGGAAGTGGTCGCATCTGGAATGACGAAAATAAGCCCATCTAGGTATGTAAATTCTCCAAGCATGTGTTTGCACTTCGATAGCTCGCTTTTAAATTGTTGTCTTGTTCTATGCACGAAGGTAATGTCCAACACGTACATTTCAATCAGATACGAGAAAGATTGGTTTAGGTGGGTGGATGATATGGACGAATGGTGCATCAGTCGGCAACTATGGTGGGGCCATCGAATACCCGCATACCGAGTTATAGGTGAGATATACAAGCTACGCCAACCGAAACTTGCAATACTTTGGTGATTTTTCGCTGTTTAGTGCTAATTGTCTGACGTTTCAATGTCTGATACCCCGCGTACAGGGAATCAGCAGCAAGAGCTCGGTTGGGTTGCGGCGTCGACTGAAGCGGAAGCCCATCGCAAGGTGCAATCGGGGAGCGTACGGCTTAGTACAGGATCATTTACCGATGTTGAGTCATCTGCAGATCATAGCCTTCCGCAGTATACACTCGTTCAGGATGAGGATGTATTGGATACCTGGTTTAGTTCTGGCCTGATTCCATTGTCTGTAACTAGCCGGCAAGGTGACCAAGATGTCAGGTGGGTAGTTTCCAATTTTTATGATTTCTTTTTTGATAACCATAATTGGGCAACTAAACATTACCCGATGGACGTTGTGGGCTCGTCAAGTCTAGATTTGGTATTCCACAATGACAAAATCTAATTTAGGTTATATTACGCCTGCACACAGCTATCCTACCGATGTTTTGGAAACAGGATCGGATATTTTGTTTTTCTGGGTAGCGAGGATGGTGATGCTTTGCAAATATAGTACTGGGGAAAGTCCATTCAAGGACATCTATCTGCATCCAATGGTACGTGGTATCCGTTTAAGTGCTGTCTTTCAGCACTTGATTTATGTGTTCGCGGATATCGGTTTGTTTTATACTGCCCATTGACGATTTTTTTTGTACTCCTTTTCTTACGCCGAGTACTTCTGATTTGTAGGTCCGCGATGCACAAGGTCGTAAAATGTCCAAAAGTTTAGGCAATGTGATCGATCCCGTGGATGTGATTAATGGTCAGACGTTGTCTAATCTTATTGATCGTGTACAAACAAGCAATCTTCCGGCGACAGAGCGGGCCAACACTATTGAAAGTTTGAGTATGTATTTGGCTCCTGTCCGAAGAGACGAGGGTGTTCCTCAAGTGTAACTGATGATGACATGTCCCATGCAATGTAATCCCGTCCATTTCAGTTGTCACTACTAGTGAGTATGGGCTGATGTTTCATATTCTTTCCGTTATTTGCGACCCGGCACAGACAAGGGATACTCTGAGGGGATACCAGGTTGTGGAGCCGACGCATTGCGCTTCACGCTATGTGAGTATATGCAACAAGGCAGCAGCATCAAAATGGTATGTTCCCAGGGCTAGATGATACGTGACGCTTCTTTCTCTATCCCTGCCAGGATGCAAGACGGATATCAACTGTGGTGATATTTGTGCTGCGCCATTTGACATGTTTAGATAAATTTACGCTATCATATGCAACAATGCGCGCTACAAGCAGTCTTTCACGAGTCTCCTTGGCCCTCTGTAACCCAATTTATTTCCCATTTTTCTTGTAGAGTGTCGAGCGCGTACAACACAATGCCAAATTCTGCAACAAAATTTGGCAATTAGTTCGATTTTATGACAGCAGACGGCAAAAAAAAGACCAAAACTCGGACACAAGTGTGGTGGGTATACCAGCGTTACAGGCTATACAACAGTCCATCTCCGAGGTGAGAATTCGCATGTGAGATTTCGCATGCTTGCAGCAAAACTAGTTTGTTCGTTCTTTTGTTCTTTTTTCCACAGCATCACGGCGTTACAACAATTCCACCTTTACAACCTGAGCAGGCACAGCTGCCCGAACAATGGATTCTGTCGCGCACGGCCAACACAGTTAAGGATTGCAACAAAGCGCTAGATGAGTACAATCTGGGCGCTGCCACCCAGTCGCTGATGCGCTTCGTTTGGTTCGATTTGTGCGATGTTTATCTGGAGACCCTCAAGCTGTCTCAAAACGATCCAGGTACCTTTGAAGGCCAAAATGCGAGTACATCTTCGGTAGCCGTATTGAATGTCTGTATTGTGAACTCTCTCAAGTTACTGCACCCCTTTATGCCGTATATTACGGAGGAGCTATGGCAACACGTTGCTTTTGTTCATGGAACTGATCACAGCGGCATAGCTGGAAAATGCGGCTTTGAATCGATAAGCCTACAAACATATCCGATCACGACAGAATTTGAAGTAAGTCTGCTCAAGTCGTATGCTATCGCAAATTCATTCTGGATATTGTGTTTATGATTACACATGTTTTCCTGTGAAGGATCTGTATTAATGTTCTTATTTTACAGGCATTTGTTTCGCCGACCGCCGAGGCTGACATGGCGCTGTCGATGGCTATAGTAAAGGCTATTCGAGACATGAGACAAAGTTTCCAATTGAGTCCGAAAATCCAGATCCCTGTTACTTTAAGGTATCGGATTTCCTCATTTAGGACCAAAGTCCAATTTCGTTCCTCACAAGACTGACCAATCAGCCTACTTTATATTTCATGTGACTACGGCTAAAATACGACTATACAACTCTCCTTTCTTTTGTACCCAGCTGCTCGTCAGATGTTGTCGACTCAGTCAAATCGAATGGATCATTCGTGTCTGATATGTCTAACATCACAATCAGAGGCATTGAGCTATCCACCACCAATCAAGGTGTGTAAGCTGAAGAATGGGTACGATCGTGAATTTTTCTCTCACCTTGCTTGATACACTATACGTTCCTCTTCGATTTGACTATAATTATGACCTCCCTTTATGCGATTTCGCATCGAATTTTGATACAAGCAGCTGATAGCGTCGGAAAGCTCGTCCGACTCCCAGTCAACGAGGCTTGTTGGATAGATGTTGATCTGCAAGATCTACCTCAAGACTTTACAAAGTTGATAAAAAAATTACAAGGGCAGCTGCACGGAGTGAACAAGAAAATCATGAAGGTATGGCGGCCTATTTATCATTTATTGATTGAGCAAGTTACTGTTTATTTATTTATACCATGCGTCGCATGATAACGACGTACTGCACGGGACGATCGTTGTAGTACTCAAATTGCGTGATAACTTCTGTGCAATGAAACTCTCAACAGTTGGAGAAAGCAGTCGGAGCCGGAAGTGCTGCTGGCAAGATGCCTGCTCATATCTTCGAGGCCAAATCTATCGAGCTAGACGGCTTGAAGGAGCAGAGGATAGAAATAGAGGCCACGTTACGGGTCACCTCTGGAACAAATTGAACTCCAAGATGATATGGGTTATGAGAAAGCTCCTAACTCCATCTGGCCAGATTCCTTATTTAGATCGCATGGGGGTGTTGTGCGGCTGTCATTAAAGAAGCGAAGTTCTGATCCATTGGTCCCAGCTCAGTCAATGTCACAATCGTACACCTAACAGAGACGACGGTGACTGCCTGGCGGCTAATATTACCAGCATTCGCCGCGACAGCCACATTTGGTTGCCATAGTTTAGCATATGTGGCTTTTAGCGGCGATCGCGGATGTTAGGGGGCCAGAGTGGACTTTGACATTGGCGGACACGTCTTTGTATATTTCAAGGTTCAGAATGCCTTCTCATTTCTTGACATCAAGCCAGAAGCTATTCACAAAGTTCCTGCCTAAGTTTATACCTGTGCGTGTATAAGAGAGCGTTTGGCGTGAGAAATAACACTGAAAACACGACAAGGGACGAAGAACGCATGCAATCCGACACCAACTCGGCTGTTGTATATAATGATGCAAGGGCTTACTTCACGATAGGTACTTGGCAAGCTTATCTGGACGCTGTATTTTCATTCCAGGGATCTGCTTTCTGTAGGCGTTCGACAGAGAGTATAAACTCTGCTCTAAAACTGTTGGGAGTAAGCGAGCATGTTAATTGGATCACAAGCGTTGTAGGTGGTTCCGTTGAAGATGGTTTCTGTAGTCAACCCGAGACAACTCATTTTAGTGTGTTGAACTCGTACCCATCTACATAGGTATAGGCGGTCTATAGTTATAACCACTAGTGTTCCTCTGTATATTTTCTAAAATAGATTCCTAAGCAATCAAGATTTATAAAATCGCTGTGGTAGACAGAGAAATTGCCAAGTCGCTCACCTTCTATCATAGCAGTTGCTTGTCGTTTCCTAACATCACCTCGTAGACCAGATGAGGGATCGTCGAGATTGTGCAACGGATCTGCGTTGTGCAGTTCCACTGCTACCAAACATTCTAATAGTTGGTTGAGAAGCGTAACAGCCATACCGCTTCGCAACAGCGTTTTACCCAGACGAGTGTGTATGTTTGCCCCATTGATGACTATCTGTGTTGCCGCTACATAATTGAGGGCATGTCAGATTGTGAGAAAGAGGCATATCAAACATGGCATCTGTTAAAGAAAATTTAGTAAACATATAGTCCCCATCTCGAACTCAAACTCTTGCAAATTAATTGATGCAAAGACACAGCTTGAAGCCAATTCACACCACCCTACAAAGAGTCACGATAAGGAAAAGCATAAAGCTTACCTCTCATAGCCCACACAACCAGTTGGTAGTCCGCGAATACTGCACGTGTACGTAGTTCTTCCAGCGATCTTGTGAAGTATCTGGACCCTGGGATATGCTAAAGAAGATGTGAGCAGATGATATATAAATGTCAGAATGATTTTGATTAAAATAGCAATCGAGTTCGTTTCAGAACTCTTGATCGTGACTAGAACATTTTACGTCGACAACACGATGAGAGACGATTCTAAGGCTCAAAGGCTATGGCCAGACACATGCAAATATATGATATAAGATGTATACATTTACGTAAAATTGTGCATACTCACCATCAGCAGTGCGACTAACGCTTTGTTTTTAGCTCCCCATGTGTTGTCCAAGATTAGGTATCCACTTTGAGGGGGCGTAGCAACATTCATCACTGATGGGCTGCACAAATTAAGATTACAATTCTATTGAGAACAAGGGACGAGAATTCATTTTTGATTCCATGTACGCAGACGATGTGAATGCCGTTTAGTGTAGAGGACTATAGGTATATATACATAGATCCGTGACCAAGTAGTTTCAAGATTCGATAGAGATTCTGACGCTTTGGTGAGCATTTGCGTAGCGTATGGAAATTGCAATATAAGCTCTACCATATATACAGTAAGAAGGCGAGGCGAGCAAAAACAAGACAACAGCTGTACCTTGGCAGCACAACACAAGCGCGGGAAAACGTGGAGCCTAGTCAAACACTGGTGTATAGATGTAACTAAAAACAGTCAAGGCGCACACTCAGCATACAACGGGAGGACACATACGCAGCAGCGACCCCGCCATCCAGTGTTGTCTGCCTCGACCGTACACCATAGGGTGCTGAGAGACCATGAGTTTCCCCAAATCTCCGGTCCGGTCCTTGCACGGCGTAGCGGATCCCCACCTCTTCGGTTCGGCAGCCCCCGTTCTGAAAGGGTACGCCGCAGGTCCGATCGAACGCACCAGGCTCCTCGGGTAGTACGGTGGACACATGTGCGTGTGTGGCAAAGGTATCGGCCCGGCCCAGCAGCAGGTGTGCCAAGTACATGCGAATGTCGGTTATAACATCGTTCGCCTTAGCGTTGACGATTTCCCGCCAGGTCGGCTCGAAGGTGGGGGCTCGTAGGCTGTCGTGCGCGAGGTATGGGTTTACCAAGGTGCCGGGCAAGGCAGCTGTCGCGTTGCGAGAGGATCGTTCACTTTCCACCCACAGGATCTGCATCTGCAGTATGTCTACACACTGCTGGAGAATGAACACAATGGCGGGGGTCTTGGAGATTGTCTGCATGCCTTCGCCTGCATTTGGCTGTGACACATCGGCATCCAGCAGAAATAGTCCCCATTCGAGATCTCCGTTCACCCGCCTCTGAAGTAGCTCGAACGCTCTGTATTTGTTATACGCGGCATTTGGGTAGCGTAGATCCGCTTCCATCATCCACAACAGCTCCTCGGCGTTGATTGTAGTGGTCGAGGCACGTAGCGTTGGATGTATTTGATCATTTCCGGGTCTGCCCTGCGTTCCCGCCAACGGCCCATTGAAAATGGCGATACGGTTGTTGTGCGAGGTTCTGAAGAGTTCTACCAACTCCTGTATGGCCAGGAGGGTAGAGGCCACCAGCATGTTGTAGTAACACGCAATACACAGCAGCTGGACGTACTGAAGAACTCCAAGACCTGTTGTGTCGGGCAAGTAGTTGACCGTCCATGACAGAGGCAGGTTTGTGCGGCCATACCACACAGCCGGTACCAAGCACACAATCGTCCGAAACGTCAGCGGCACGGCGCGTGTGATCGCTCTCTCTAGATGCGCGCAAACAGAGTGTACGAAGTCGTCGTGTCTCTCAGGGAAGCGTAGGTGGCCCTCCTCATACTTCCAGTAGGACAGGGCGTACACCCAACCTGTCCACAGACCCACCGTACAGACGAAGAATTTGTTCTCGTTAGGCTGTCCTTTCTCATAGAATAGAGGACCGCCCTCTTGGTTGTAACAGAATGCGTATGCCAGCCCGAACGTCATGCAACCCAGAATAAACGGCAGCATGTGAACAAACCCTAAAAACTTATCAATCCTAGAGAGTGGCGTGGACCGTCGTACAGTGGAGTACATCAGATGGAATACTTGTGCAATGACCGAGATGACCACTAACCCCAGGGTGTACATTATTGAATGTAGACTGAAAAGAGAAGCAAAGTAGGTGTACGCCCATTGTCGGGGGTAGTAGATTTCGTGCAAGGTGATCTTGGTCATCGGAACAAAGACTACGTTGAGCAATAGTACGGTTGTACCCAGTAGCTGGAGGTCCTGTATGTATAAGGAAATGTATACACTATTAGATGCTCGTATCATATTAATGTAAGGGGTGCGACGCGCTCGTCACCGGACACGCTGAAGTACTATTACTAACTATCCTACAATATCTGCACGAAAAACAAAAGCATTGAATATTCCTGAACGAAAACTAGATAGTGCTATTGACTTGCAATAAAATTATACACAGAAAGACACAGACACACAGACACAGACAGACACAGACACACATATATATACATATATATATATATATACACATATATATATAAATACATATTTTTATACATGTCT